TGCTGAAAACTAGAGTTTTGTGGTAGCAGAAACAAAACAGGTATTCTTAATCAGAAAGCTGTGTGGCTCACTTGGTCTCATCTGGAATGATAGTCTCCTTCACCTCAGTCTGCTGCGTAGTGGACTTCCTTTGACATTCAACCCAGTAACAGAAAAGCAGAACACTCATTCCCATTCTGCCACTACCCTAAAGTCTTCCAGAAAGCTACAAGATAGTAGAAAGCCACAGGTCCTGGCTTGTGTCTGCATAGAAGAAAGGAATATTTGACACACACCCCCACCAGACTCCTCACTGTTGTTCTTTTGTTCCTTTTGGCAGGAGATTTTACTCCCACACACACACACCTTTTTGATAGTAAAAAAATGCCTTTTGCTTAACTGTGTTTAGTCTGTTGCACTTGACTGAGGTAATCATGTAGGCTCTCCTTTATTAAAAACTGAAATAGCCATGTTCAGACAGCAAATAATCTGAAAATAAGGACAGGCAGAATAAATAATTTATTTTAAGTGCTTATCTCTCCATGGCTACAGAAATCTAGATGACTATCTAGCACAATCAAGATGGCTCACAGTCACTGACCAACACAAACTAGCCTTTATTTCAGAAGCAAAATTAAAAGCTTAAGTCTTGCTGCCACTCTTTTTAAGCAGAACACTAAAGAATCTCACATGCTGAAGTCCTTCATCCCCAAAGGCACTGCGTTAAGGCATTCTTATTTTGCTGGAGTCCACACAGGCACTATTTGACAAGCTCATACCCAAAAATAAACCACAAAAATTCCCTGCAGAAGAGCAGGAGCAATAGCTACCCACTCCTCCTCTGCTTCCCTTTCCTCTAAAACTCAGACGACCCTCCCTAAAGCTGCAGCAGCTGTTGAAGAGTCTAACCATGTTCAGTAGAGCACTTCAGAGTCCTATACAGAAGACAAATTAAAACCAATAAAGAAATCAATGAAGAAGCTAGGTGGAAGGGAAGGGAAGATTTAGGGGCAAGAAGAGACAGGCAAGGTGACAAGGGACAGTAGGCTGCAGACTGAAGGAGCTTACATTCAAGTAAAAAAGTAGACTGGAGACAAAGCAATAGGAAAAAAAGGAAAGAACAAAAGGGCAAGTTACACCAAAGGTCCCCCAGAGACCTCCAAATCCCCCACCAGGGAAAGGACTTACCAACCCACCCACTCCAGAGTAAAATGCCCCTCATACTTACAGGTTTACCTGACCCTGGCAGACAGAATTTCCCATTTCTACAATGATGGCCACCCCCAATTCCTTCCATTACTATGTAAAGCACACCATTTGCACAATAAGCATGGGAGTTCCAGCACCACCACCTCCCTTCCCCAAGGACTGAAGTTAACACTTATGCAACCAACACCCTCCAGATCTCAAACCAAAAAGGAAGAGTTTAAAGTACTCTAGAGTTGGTGCTTCTTCACCTTTGATCCTGGGCTTTTCGGTACTTACTTACAATCACCACCACCACAATGGCACAAATCACTCCCATCATGATCATCATCTGGAGAGAGAGATTGTCAAAGAGTAATCCGCAGAACAGATTGACAAAGTTCACATCTTCCCTGACACCCAGGGAACATAAGCTAGACCCTGAAGGCAGGACAGCCAAGGCCTCAGTCTCTCACAGTGAAAGAATTCTATGCATTTGAAATCATTATTAAGCCCCAACTAGTCTCTCAAAGCCCTGCAGGAGACCAGCTCAATTTCCTCCTAATGAAGGAGACTGTGGCACTAGAGAACTCACCTTGCAGTTCTTCCACCAGTACTTCCTTTTGAGTTTTGCTGCGCTACTTTCAAATTGTGAGGCACCAGCCTGAAGTGCATCTGCCCGGTCATCTAACTCTGACAGTTTCTGGTCTCGTTGCAGCACCTTGTCTACATTTACACGCATTATATCAACCACCTGCAGAAGGAAGAATAGTACTATTAGTTGTATTGGAAAAGAGTTGAAAAAGTAAGATGAGTAACTTGGCCAATAACTAACACTGAGATACTAACAAGTGAAAGCCCCAAACAAGGAAATAAGGTCAAGATAGGAAACAGCTTTACAGTCACTGCCTGCTTTGAAGTGGGGAAAAAAATCTTAGACCCCTTGTTAAAGTTTCAGTTCAAGTACACTTAAACGAGGTCCTCAGCCCCACATTCTTACGTGCTTTTAAAAGCTCTCAAATCCAGCAAGCCTAAGGCACCCCCCAGATGAGAGCAATCATAGGCTCACTCCCAGATAACTGCAAAGATAACTTAAAAGCTACATGTTGCTGCCCCATTGAGGCATAAAGGCGTTACTGCATGTCAGCAGTCACGCTACAGACACTGACCCTGGAAAGTCAGGCAAGGTTTCCCACACATCACGCACTGACCCTGCACACAGACTGTTCTCTTGAAGGAGCTGGCAGGGATTAAGAGCTATTTTGGATGCTGTATAGCTTTATTTCTATAACAGATGCAAGATACAAGGTACCAAAAATCTAACAGGCCTGCTCCTTTGAAGTCATATCCGGAATTAAGCAGCTTTTAAACATAAAGCAATCTCTCCTCCAGCACCTTTACAGGTCTGCCATGATATTTTGAGTATTGATGATTAATGCATTTCTGGTGTTGGCATGACAAAAGCATCCACCTCCTCAGCAACAAACGGGTGTCAAGAACGTCGATGCTGCAGAGCAGTAGGAGAAGAGCCCAGGCAGGCTACGGGAAGCCAGCACGGCTGGCAGCTACTAA